GGGAGAATGTGCATTGTATATTTGTTTGCAAATTTAAATAACTTCTCTAATTTTATCCAGTATTTTTTATGCTAATGGGAAAATACCATTAGTTTTTCATTTGAACAAAATTTGAATAATTTGTTTTTACGGCTAACAAGTTTAAAACCATTTTCAAAGTTTTAATATATAATTTACGAATTTGAAATAATTCTGAGAATTTTAACCTAAATTTTGCACTTTAATTTATGAAAAGAATGGTATTATATATCGTCCTATAATGCTTATGATTATTGCATGATTTATTGCCTGACAGATTTTCTCGTTCAATAATTAGACAATATATTTCAATACAGGAAAAGGCAATAAAATTAAGCGAAACCGAATGATTCTGCCGGAAGAAAACATCACGAAACAAGAAAATTGAATGTAGTCAAAATAATACCGAGTAGAATTCAAAAAAAAAAAAAAGATAAAAAACTAATAGCTATATCTTTTGTAATTAGATGATATATAAAAATGAAATGTTGATAATTTCGGTCTTTGATACTATTCGACAATAATGAAAAAGCTTATATATAGAAATATATATTTATTTTGTCAACCTTCAATTAATTTAATTCAAATATCAATATTTATAATTAATTCGACAACTTGAAAAGACATATCACAGATGCATATATTTATCAAAACTTAAATTTTCCCTACAATTAAATGAGCTTAAAAATCACGAAATAACACTGTCGTATTTATTCTTCCTCACTTCACTTACAATTGCTATGCGCAAAAAGTCAAATGTTGATGATCGAAAAGAGCTTATAACTTTTGTTCAATTGTATTTTTCATAAAAATTTTGCCATTAAATCAGGTGAAGACAAAAAATTTAGCCGACAAATGTATTTTTAAATTGTATTTTAGTTTAAAAAAAAAAAAAAACTAGGAGAGTAATAAGTTCTTTCATTAATAAGATTGAGATTAGTTGAAATAATAAACATAGCATTTTGTTATGCGCAAGAAGTTGATCCAAGGTTGATCGTTTTCTTTTTTTTTTTTTTATCAAAAATTCATTTGCGCATTAATTTATAGTTCAAGAAGTTGATCAAAGGAGTTGATCTAAGGTTGATCCTTTTTTTCTCATACCGGAAATTCATTTGTGCATTACTTTTTAGTCATGAAAAAAAAAGACTTTTGTTTAATCTGAATAGTTTTTAAAATTTAAATGACTTGATTTTACCCTTATTTTAAAATTTCATTTTTACTAAAACAAAAATTTGTGTTATGAAAAATATTTGTGTTATACAAACAATGGTAAATTCTCAGTTTGAAAAAAGGAAAAGAAAATGATTTATCATGAAATTATGATGATAATTTTACGGTCAAAATTTTATCGCTATTTATCTTCTTTTTCCAAAAATTTTCTTTTTTTCTACTACAATTTTTAACAAATCTTTTGCTATATTGCACTTGAAAGCTGGATAATGAAAAATTATCCATGATTCAAAAAGTACTTAAAAATTTAATAATTCACTTCATATGAGTTTAGCTGATAAGGATTTGACGTAAAAAATTTCTTTAATCATTTAAATGCTTCTTTTCTTTTTTTAAACATTTTCTAATATTTTGATTTAAAAAAAAAATGCATCAAATAACATTCTGTTACGAGATAATGAAACGGAATAATCTGAAATACTAAAGAATAACATTTTAAGTGACATTTTTGGTATGTTTGATTCGAACTATAATTAAGGCTGCTATTAAAAATAGTTCGAAAATTTTAACCATCATTTTCAGAATCCAAGGAACCAGAAGTGGGAAAAGAAAAGAAGCATCAAAAATTAATCGAATTTCTAGATTGCTTGAGAAATATATGGAAAATATGCCGAAAATGCTGTTAAATCCATTGGCATAACCGGATAAATGGAAGAAGTTTCCGGTGATTATTCTCATGCTACTGATAATGTTGTACTTCAGTAATTCATTATTTCAATAGATCACATTTCTCCACCATTATTCTCCCCTTTTTCTCGAATGCATCATCTACAGGAAGTACAGTAAGCCTCAACTTATAGCGGATAACATTTTTATTGAATATTATTATTAAAATTTTTTCGATGGATTCTTTTTTTTACCACCTTTTCTGCATTCAATTTTAAGATTTTCTCATTGCCTAATATTTGTTGTTTCCATCGTTCACACGATGTATTTTTGATGTCGAGAACTTTTCATTTGTATGAGAATGAATTTTCATGCAAAATTTAAATGATTAAAATTTTTGAGAAATAATTTTCTGTTAACAAAATATTGCAACTGCAAGAGTTTTTACAGTTTGGTGAACTGTAAAATAATTCACTGCGTTATCCTGAAAAGTTTTCTTTCGTCGTTAGTAGTTATTTTTCATTGTTCACCATCTAAATGTCATCTTCTTATTTTATTATCTAATCAAACATGAGAATAGCATTACTAATAATAATTTAAAACGGTTTTTTTTCTTTTTTTTTGGGAAATGGATGAAAATTCCACACTTTCTTAACCTTCAAAACGGGTAGCATAGCATCGAAAAAATGATTTTGAATTAATTAATCAATTAATTAGGATGGTGTCTATCTCTACGTTATAAATCTTGAATTTTGTGGAATCATAAATTTAATTCATTCAGGAATTTAGAATGATTGTATAATTTTGGACTCCTTTCTGAACATTGTTCGTGAGATTTCGATTTCAAATTTCTCAACTACTTGATCATCTTCCTGAATTACTACGGCAGTTTGTTCCACTGATATCAGGAACACACTGTGAACAATTGTTTCATTCACTTTTATCACTGTTATATCACTTTTATCAACTGCTGCATCATCCCACTTTTACCAGTGAGTACTGATGTTATTTGCTATTATTCATTATACTCCGTTGAGTTTTCAGATTTGAACTTGAAATTTTTTGCAGATTTTCTTCGTCAGAAACGAAATCTTTCCAACTTTGAAAAAAGTAAATTACATTTTACATGTAGCATTTCCAGGCTATACCATAAATTCAAGGAGAGAGAGTGAGAGAGAAAGAGAGAGAGAGAAGGAGACGGAGAGAGAAAGGGAGAGAGGGAAGGAGACGGAGAGAGAAAGAGAAGGAA